TAGGTGGTCTTCCTCTATTTTTCTGTATCCCCACTCTCATTAATCCATGTTGCATTACAATACAACTGAACGTTTAAGAACTGTTTTCCAGTGAACTATTGGATACCATGAGACCAAGGTTGTGTCTGTCTTATCCCTGGTTGTATCTCTAGCATTGAATTTGAGGTCATCTAATGATTATTTGGGGATGGATGGATGGATGGATGGATGGAAAGATGAATGAATGGAAGCATGCATGGAGATGGATGGATATAGATGGAAGCATGCATGGGGATGGAAGGATGGATGGATGGGTGGGTGGATGGAAGCATGCATGGAGGTAGATGGATAGGTGAAGCATGTATGCTAGTGAAATTTGCCCCTAATGGCACAAGGCAGAGTTTTATTAGACAATATTGTAATATTGATGTGATACGGAGTGCCACACAAACTCCATGCTGAAACCATGGATTTCATTAAGAAAAGTCCCCAAGGAGGAATATGTTATTAAATTTTTACAACTTTAAAATTGGAAGGGACCCTTTTAATCACTGAGTTAAATGGCTTCAATTAAAAGAAAGAGAAAGCTGAGGAACAAAGAGGTGAAGTAACTTGCCAACATCAACCATTTCATTGTAGTCAGAGATGGGACTGGTAACCTGGAAAGCGGATTTTCTAGCATTTGATTCAAAGAGCATGCTGGCCACTGTCTACTTCTAGGATCCCAGGATCCAAACACTGACATGCTATAATGGATTGTCAGTAGATAAATATGATGCTGGGAAGAAGGTGGAAAGGACCTGTGCTCTGGGGGTTGGGTATTTTTAGATTTGATGTATTTTGTGGTCAGAAAATCACTTTCATGTGATAGCTTCTAAACCCCTCAGCCTAGTGAAATACTTTCGAAAGTATTTTAATTTCTGCTCTGACACGCTGGTAGATTTTGTGTTTTTTTTTGCCCATCCACTGAGTCCTAAAGTAGCAAGCTTGATCTGAAAATAAATTATTAGTAAACATTTGAAAGTGAGAAACAAATTATTCCCAAGAACAAGAACACTTAGCTCCTTTCTTTGAATACACACTTGAAAATTTCTAAGACTCTATTCTGTGAGAATGCTTGAATCTCTCCCTAAATCATAACATGGGTAAACTTACAGAAATATTTTTACAATTTTATTAGAGGTTTTTAACTCACTGCTTTATCTGTCTCTGTTAAACTGCAAAATAGCTTTAAATATTCAAGTGGTAATTAATGAATCTTTTATGTTGCAAATCAAACATTTTCATCTGTGTGCTGCTGAAGTAGAGATGAGGAAGGATTTAAAGAATAATTGTTTTTCCCAACTCCACACCCTTGGTTAGTGTGTACCTCCTGTTTTAGGAGTGGCTTTGCATTTGTTGCCTAGTGGGGCTAGTGCTCAGTGTGGACGATGTCTGCTGTCTTTCTGAAGGTCAAGGTTTCTTACGTGTTTCTTGCCAGAGACATTCTTGACTAGATGGAAAGGTTTTTGAATATGGAATTTTTGCTTGAGTGCAAAATAATAAAAAGCATGTGTATGTTAAAAAAGGATCAGCTTAATGGCAAATGAGCATTGGCCTATGTTAATATTCTATATTACAGCTAATATTACAGTAAAAACTTCTATTTAATAAATTTTCTCCAGACTTTTGCCCCCCAGAATCTAATGTATTTTTCTAACTGGCCTGCCAACCTAACGAAAGTAAATATGATACATTTGATTTATGGTAAAGTCAATAACATGCACAGCCATTTAAAATTGTATTTTAAGTGTAGAAATATCAACTCAAGGGAACATGTATAGTACTATATATCGAGGAGGAAGAGTGTTAGCTTTGCAGGGGCTGAAATGACTTGTAAATGTTATTCTATTTAGAGGATATTTTTAAAATGTGATGCTTTGTCAAGTGGTAAGAAAGCAAGTCTGAAATCCTGCAATTTAGTTTAGGACATAAAATGAAGCTGATATTCAAGACTTCATTTAACACAGCAGTTTTCCTTTCCTCTCTCACTAATGAGAAGTGAGCCAGTGAGAGCAGCCCTTGAGAACATTCTCAAAAGGACTGACAAATCTCTGGAAGCCACCCTGTGTTCTTCTATGGCCCTAATTAATACTGGACTCAGTGACATTTATGTATCAGAGCAATAAGCTAAACAGGAAACAATTTATGTCACCTAAAGCTTTTTAACAAATCGATGCAGCTATTTGTAATTGCTTGTTTCACAAGATTAAAAGTGCTAAGGCCTGATCTTCATCCATGGATTTGTGGTGAACCTGACCTGTGCTTCCGTTGTTTAAAAAAAAAAAAAAAGAGTTGGTGATCAGCACTGACTCCCATCAAGTAATCCATATTGTTAATATTTCTGGAATTTTAATGTAGTTACAATTTATAGCCAATCAAATGTGGTTACCTAAATTGCTGTTGCTAGTAGACAGTTTAACTGTCTTTATTAATTACAGTATAATTTAATGTTTGAGTATGGCACTTGTGTTGGTCATTTTTATAGCTAGAGAAGTTATCTGCCTTATGATGAACCATTTTAGCATTTTCAATGGAAATTTGCTAATATGATGAGTGATAAAAATGTCACACGCTGGTAAATAATGATTATTGCTTTGGCTGAAATTAATTCTTGAAAGACCAGTTACCTTCAAATTAATAGTGTAACTTGAAGCTTGTCTTTCCCCCTCCTTATATCTTGATGTAAGCCAAAAAAGAGCCTATGGATAATTTCAAATGAATATATATGTACATATGTATGTATTAAGCATCAAATGTCATTTTATAGAGTAGAAATAAGGTGACATAGCTTTTTTTTTAATAAAACTGTTTAAAAGTAAATGAAAGTAGGTTTTATCTGGAGTGATGGTTTTCTAATGCAAATATCGTCCCACAGTTAAGCCAGTGTTTTCATATGTAATTTAATTTCCATCCAATGTGAATTTTGTCTTAAGCCTTTCATCAATCAGTCCATTACTTAAACGAAGGTTTGAGACCCAACTTCACTTTATTTGGATAAAGAATACTTCTAGTTGACTCAACTACAATGATGATGAGATAAATTGTAATTACTACCCTGAACATAAAGGTGTAGTATCAAAGACGACAAAATCTAGTAAGTCCAGTAAGACTAATTGCACTTTTTGATCTTTCTGAGGGGGAGAAGGGGACGTTACTATCATGCATCTGTTTGTGTTGATGGGAAATAGGAATTTCTAAGAGTTTAGGCTCTCTATAGAAAAACCTGATTTAAAAGAAAAATCAGTATTTTGTTTGCTGCCTTGTTTACCTAAGTGACAAGCCTGAATATGTAAAAGATGTCCCTGCTCTAGAAGAGTTCCAGAAATTTAATTAAAAATGTACCATGCATCACTGTAAAATTGTCACTAATGCCTTGTCATACTTGGTTTGGGTTCTTCAGCTTATTCAAATGTGTACATGTTTAGTTTTACCAACTACATATGCTATAGGCAGCACTTATGTTCAAGCCTGGCATTTTAAGGAATCTGTTAATCCTAATGTTATATTCTTACTTAGCAGGTATCTGAGAGCTTGAAGGGTTTGACTGTTTTGTTAATTATCAGGCTAGAGGACTTCTAGATTGTGGCCTAACTGCTTGTGAAAGGACACCACTTCACAGCTTAATAGCAAAACCTTATACTAAAAAAAAGTTTTTCCCTAATATGGGATCTTCAAAACAATGCTAGGGAAATATATTTACATGCTCCTCAGAATCAGTCAGTAATTTTACTTAATAAAAAATTGCAAGGTTAATTTTCAAGTCTTCTCTTGGTTTGTGTAATGCGCTCTGAATTACACAGGTAATGGTTTCCGTTACCATGTTTTGGCCACTTAATGTGCTGCTTTCAATAGACCAGCGATTTTCAACTAGTGTGCCACAAGAATTCTTAAACATGTAATACCTGACTATTTAACCTGAGGCACTGATCTATTCCTTCAGACTGTGAAATAAAAAAATGACAACCAACGCAGTAATAGCTGCCTGGTGTGAATGAATCAAAATTACACTTACTTTTTTTGGACTGGCAAAAAAATATCTATTTTGGTGTGCTGCAGAATTTTGGTAGTTTGTGTGCCATGAGATGAAAACGGTTGAAAATGGCTGCAATAGAACAATTTAATTTTTGCTGAAAGATGCCCTAGTTCATTAATCCTTAGAGTGTATACAAGTTATATTTAAGAGAAATTTTATTAGAGTTGGGCAATTTTTAAAAATGCAAAGATCAACATGGTTTTTCTGGAATATTTACTGGTGTTCTACTGTTTTCTTCACTGAATGCAGTTACCTAGCACATTTTTGCTAGAATATTTTTATAAAATCATTTGTTCTAATCTAAGCATTTATCATTATATGCAGAGATTTCTTGATGAGAATATTATAGACAGTGCATATTTCTGACATTAGCATTTTATTTGGATGACTAATCTTGCAGATGCGCAATTTTAATGAATTATTCATGATATTGCTTTCCTCTGAAATTTTAGTTTGCTCTTAATGCTAGTTATTAAACATTTTGTTTTTCTCTATAAAATTTGATGAAGGAAAATAAAGGTGTGCTTCCTCAAGAGAAAAGGTAGCTTCCTCTTTTTTGTTTTTCCAGTCTCTAAGTGGAGACTTTCACTTTGAAATCCCGAGAACAAGAGCTCCAGCCCTCTGTGATGTTGACTGCTTTTAGATAAGACTGATTTTAATTCAGTGTTGGAAGCAGCTGATGATAAACCCAAGGCATGTGCTTGTCATACAGTATCAGCAGGTCAGAAGGGAAAAGAAACTTAGGCTGTGGCAACGTGTACTACCAGTGTGAACAACCAGCATTTTTATTGCATTTGAGAATGCTATAATGTCAGTAATTAGTACTGACTACACAACATTTTTTTTATTGTCTGTATTCACAGACACGGAATGATGGAATTACACTTGATGTCAAGGAATGAGTTTCTTTTATGCCTTATCAAAACAAAACAAAACAAAACAAAACAAAACAAAACAAAAGGTTTTTATTACTGGCAGCACACATCTGTGAAGCACCGTGAGCGCGGTCCGCACTGTACCATCTTCACCAAGGCTCCTGGGTGGCAGAGGCCGTGTGAACTACACTGGGCCCACAAAATGCCTTTAGAATTACAAGTCTCATTCTCAGGATAAAAAAAGTGAAACCAACTCTCAAGAACATCCAAAATATCAAAAGGGTACACCATTAACCAAAGGTACCAAAAATACTCAAACTCCTTATAAGTATGTTCTTTGTACCCTTGGAAATGGAGCTCAGCTGGAATGTGGAAAGGAGAGGAAATATTTAACTTTTTTTCATGATAAAATAGCTAGTAATTAACATCATATTTCTGGGTTAAGAATCCAAGTTGTTCTTTACCAAGTAGGTCTGATAGAAATCCTGGGAACAGTGAGAGCTGCCTGAAGGTGCAGGCTGGTGGTCACACATCCAGGACACAAGCCTTGATATTTCATTGCGCTGCTGGTTCAAACCAGGCAGCATAACTCGTCTTACCAGGACAGACTCTAGGGACCAGTGGGATGAATCCTCATTCCTGACAGTGGATTTGCCTGAAACAAGGGACTATCTCCCTAATACATGCTTTTGTTTGGGAAAACAAAAGGTAACAGACTGTGTTTACATCTTGGCACCTTGTACAGTTTTCTTTTTTTTTAATACAAAAAGTTCCATAGCTTTGACACGCCCTATCATTAATCACTACTTCACTGATGAACTTGGAAAGTGTGACCCTGCAATTTCATCATGCAAGATATTTACTGCGGCAGGAGGAAACATTTCTTTTTATCTTTTTAGATGTATGAACTCTTTAAGATAGCCAGGAAAGCAGTGGTAGGATAAACACAATGGATAGGAATGTATTAAAAAACATTAACACACATGCACGCACACACACATAAAACCTGTACAAAATGTTCTAATCAATGAGAAGAGGGGAAAAAAGTCTGTCAACTATGTTACAATTTAAAAGCAAAAAAAAAAAAAAAAAAAGGGAAATTTTCCCTCCCATGTCAGGAAATGTCATCCAATATTCTTAAAGCAAGGATAACTAAATAATACATGTGCAGCATTTTCTGCAAATCCATTACATACAGTAGTTTTTTTCCCAAAGCTATTTTTAAGTATCATTAATATAAAGCAGTTGCACAAAAAGCAAAGGTATTTTGACAAACAGGTGTATGCATTTATTCCTTCTTAGGAACAATATCTAAAAAAAGAACTGCCCTCCTCCCTCCCCCTAAAAAGACAAGTTCACACAGACACATTGGGATATATGTACAACATAATAAACCCCATCCTAAAGAAGCGACTGATAGCCCCAAGGGATACAGAATCAGAATTGTAAAAATCATATGAAGTTTGCTAGCTGTAAAGTCTGAGAATTGTTTTTTCAGTTGGTTCTTCTGCAAGGCTGTGATACCTGCAAAGATAAGTAAAATCTAATTTTTTTTCCTTTTGCTACAGTCTTTAGACTAATCATGCAAGACATACAACTAAGTGCAACTGAGTGAAATGTTTTTTTTTTATTTTAATCATTCCCTAAAGGTTTGAACTGAGGTATGCGTACTAACAGTTTCTCATGCTGTTATCTTTACTCATGTCTAGCTACACATGCTGAGAATGAACTAATCTACCAGATTTTTATCCTCTTTTGAATATCAAACTAACCAGCAACCACTCAATTTAGAAGCACAGGGCCCCCTTCCCATGACCCTGTCTGGCTACTGCCTGCACATCATGAAGCTGCCTGCAAAAGTTAAAAACAAGTCTCGAGTGACCACAGACTGCCCTTTATACAGAAAGCAGAGTGAAGCTTCTTCAAAAGTTAACTGCCAAAAAAGTTTGTGTACCAAGCTTACGAGTGGACAGGAGTGTTACTTCTTTTTTAAATAAAAAATGATGACCAAAATTTAATCAGAAAAAAAGGAAAAATTTAAAATAAAAAAACTGGAGGCTATATGATAAGATAAACCAAAATCAACACAGTGATTACAGCACAGGCCTTAAACAAAAGTGGCATACAATCTTTCTTTTTTAAAAAAATGTATTCTAGAAGTAATTTTATGTGGTCTATTTCCACTGTGGAAGCTTTTCTCTTCTCTCTGAATTTTATCTTGTCTCCTTTACTGGACACCCCCTAATTTTCAGGGACATACATTCATATTTTTCTTTGAGACGGGACTCCTTTCCTTCATTTGCTCCTTTAATACAATGTTCTATTTTTATCTTCAGTAGCCCCATAATATCTCTTTACAAGAATGAGTTTTAGGATCTTCAGGGATACAGAAGAGAAAAAAACCAACAACTAAAAAAAGTAACAACTTTGGTTCCATTACCTACTTGGTCTTCTAAATTTATGATGAAGGAGCAGTTCGTTCTCTTCCTCAGGTTAGCAATAGCCTGTATCTCATCAATTGCCTCTAAATTCTTTTGCCTCCTTTGATCAACAATAAGAGGATATTTGGCTTCATCAGATAAAGCATAAAACAGAGAACATAATTTACCTTTGTGTAACATCTTTGGTAATTTTAGAAAAAATAAGGTACAAAAAATATAAATAAAGCTCCAAACGGCTCTTAAATTAAAAGCAAGAGCCACAGTCCTAGATAAATAAATGAGTGACAGGAAGAGTGGCTGCAGCATGGAAGTATCCAGGGTTCTTAGGACAGAGGTTGTGCTGACAATGACTGTCACATCCTGCATGTTCATTTCCTGAAAAGCCCAGGGCTGAGATGCACCCCATGCAGTTAATGTCTTCTACTGTTAGCTTTTGATACTGGGTTGGTGTGATCATATTGCATAACAAACTGAACTGCAGTAGCAAATGTGCACATATGAAATGAATACTTTAGCATTTGCTGAACTGCCTTCATTCACTGTTGCAACAAGTTCAAACTGAACTCTATTTGCATTCAAATAGATTAATGCCACCAAGCAGGTCTGAACTGATGTTTAAATTCAGTACCACCACTACCACCAACACCACCTCTTTCAGCAAAGTTTCTCAGGGAAGCCAGCTTTTTGGTCATTTTGCAAACAAAGCAACCCACACTGGTTTAACATGGCTCATTACAACTTGATTCCACGAAGGTGAGCCTTCCACAGCCAGACTGTCAGTCTAACAATTATGAGATTTTTTTCCGAGGGTGCTGCCTATTGTTCCTACTGCTGATAAAATGTTGTGGCATTTATTAAGAATGATGGTAGTTGCAAAAAAAAAGAGGAAAATCTGAAACAACCCCTTTTGCCTTGTAGAATGATTCTGTATTGCTCCTAGAGTGTGTCTATATCTTTTTTCTGTCATTCATTCTCTTTCTAGTAGGATTTCACATCTGTGTGAGAGGACCTTCATGTGTAGAGTGCAATATTTGGGACCTTTTTGAAAAAGACCAAAACGGAATGTCTGCCGGCTTTAGAGAAAAATGTGGTGATGTCTGAAGGAAAATGGAATGAGGGACAGAAAACTACAAACAAGAAATGACATTCAGCTTTGTATAATAAAAATACCTATTAACATTCATTACAAGGTACAGAAAACTTTAAGCCTCCAGGAGGCCATGGGCCCAAGTGGAGGCCTGAGGTCAGAACTTAAAACAGTATAGTAGAAGCAAGAAAAAAAAAGCAATACATTAAAAAGTTTGGGATAATTATTTTTAACCCCTCCCCCAATACACACACACAAAGGCCTTCCCCATCCCAACTGGAAGCAAAAAAAAAAAAAAAAAAAGTGTAAAAGGCAGTGATAATCAACATGCAGTACTGTGCAAATAGGTTGTCCACTGGAATCCTTAAATTCTGGGCAGAGGCTTGGTCTGCAGTGTAGGTGCACATGCTCAGTTGGGTATCCTCAGGCTCCAACGTCGGCAGGACTGCAGTTCAAAGTCTGCTGCTAAAAGTGAATCAGTTTAGCAAATTTACAACAGATGTTGACGGCTAAGAGAGGAAAATCCCAAGTACCAAACAAGTCCATCCAATGCACAGAGTACAAATTCCTTTTTTCAACAAAAAGTAGAAAAATCAAAAATACTCCCAAATGGGATTCTTGATGGCACTAAGAGTTAACACATTTCAGAGTTGTCAAAATGTAGTGAAACTCCTCCAGACTGTACAACAAATGGAGAACGATTTCACTGTTAACTTTTGATGTTTTGTTTTGCTTTTTCCCAATCTTTATTCTTGGGATTGGCCCACCCAGATGTTCACTCCATGTCCTCATTTACTGGTTCATCTTCATAATCTCTGTCGTGGTCAAAATCTGGACTGTGGTTGGCTGTTGTCACTAAGGATAGAGGCCCTTCAGCTTCCTCTGGATCGAGGGGCTCTTCTTTGACGTGCACAGGATGCCTGGAAATACAAGAAAAGGTTCATTGAGAGAACTGCCCAGTCCGATGCAATTTAGTTGTTACGGGTAACACAAAAGCACTCTAGGACAACACTGTTCAACACAGCAGCCACCAGCCACATGTGGCTATTTAAATTAAAATTAGTTAAAACTTAATAAATTTAAAATTCAATCTCTCAGTTGCCCTGACATTTCACATGTTCAATGGCCACATGTGGCTGTGGCTGCCATACTGAACAGCATGGAGGCAGGCATTTCTATCATCACAGAAAGTTCTTTTCACAGTGCTGCTCTAGAATGACTGATCTCTGGACAGAAGAGGGCCTCTTCCTCAGTGGTGTTCTCAGACTTCACTTTGCACTCCAATCACCTGAGGATCTCGTTAAAGTGCAGAATGTGACTCAGAAGATCTGGGGTGGGGCCTGAAACTCTGAATCTCTAGTAAGCTCTCAGGTGATCCTGCTGGCCTGAGGACCACACTTGGAGTACTAGAAAAATAGGCCCCACCACAGCATACTGGGTGGATGAATACAAATCTTTAAATAATTATATGAACTAAGAATCTGTAAGACAACAGTAGTTTGTGGGGACCATGGAGTGAGGAAGTCTGGGTAATCACAGCTCTCTGTGTATTCTGCTTTGCTAGTTAACATGCGGAACCTGTGAAAGAACTCTCCCGAGACCGACCCCAAGCGAGGTTCTATCATTAATCAACTTCAAGCAAACATAGCAAAGAGACACCATGATACATGCTTGAAACTCCAAATTAATGCATATTTTTTACAAACTGTCAATAAGGCAAGAAAAGCCCTGCCAGGAAACACAAACGAAGAGGAAGAGGCTCCCTCAACACAACAATGTGATAAGAAAGCAGAGCCCCAATCAGAATAATAACACTGTCAGCCATAAACAAGGCAGAACATGAGGCCGCTGGTAGCAGCCACCAGGATGTGGGCCCTGCGAGATGATCTGCCAACTGCCTCATTATGGACTGAGCAGGGTTCATCCTAAGGGGCCCCACAGGGATCACAGGACACCACTCTGATAACAATTGAGAAATGCTGTTCGTAAATCATATTTACAACCAACTCTTTACAAATACAAATTACTTTCAGTTACAGGGCTTTTGATATGTAAAAGAACCATTCAAGTTAAACTGGCCCCATTGCTGGGACAGGATGCAGAAGGAAGGATTTTTAATTGACATTATCAAGTATTAGTAATAAGAAGTGTTACCGGGGATGGCTGGTTTCCTAAATAATTGATGCTGTATGCAAACCCTGAAGGCAACTTGGACCATTTAAAAACAAACAGCAGTGCTTTGGACTGATCTTGGGTGTAAACCTTCAGAAAACCAATTGACTCTAGTATTAGCACAGCCTAGAGAGTCTTTGGGGGTAGATGTTAAGATTAATAGCTTTTTTAAAACCATGCCCATATTCTGAAAAACTATTTGCAAAACAAAATATACCCAAATTGTATGACAGCATACTTTACTAGCTGTGCTCTACCTCCTTTTAGTTTTTTAAAGGTGCCATTTATCAGTGTTTCTACAGTGAGACCCAGGACTGGCTACATAATTTGCAGAGCCCTATGCAGTAAGAATTTCAAGATGGAGATGGTTTTAAGCATGGGGACCCATATGCAACTGCCTACATGAATGCCTGGAAAGTCAGCCCGGGCAGGATCCCCTATATTCTTTTGGAAAGAATTAGCTGTATTGATTATTATTCCTTAAAAAAAGTCTCCCATAATCCCCAATTAGTGGAGGTGTTTTTTCTTTGCCTAGCCTCTCCATTTGGGGTCATATTTTTATATCCTGTAAACACAGCAGGAACACAACTATTTATTTTTCTAGCTTTACAGTTATAATTTTATGGCTATGTGAGATACCATTAATGTGTTAACACATTAGCACCTTAATACTCAAAAGTCTGTGATTGTCTTTTTTCTTTCCCCTCTCTTCTGCTATTTGTACAATACAATGATGACTTTTATCCATTAATACTTCTACTTGTGTTGATTTACTCCTTTAGGATAAATTTCTAAGAATGAAATTTAAGTTAGAGCAATGGCCAAAACATCTTTATGGTTATGAGTTATTGTGATAATAATTTCCAAAGGGGCTATATCAATTTAGACTCAACCTAATCAGCACCAAGCATTACTTTTTAAAAATGTTTTGTTGCTTAGCAGGTATGAAGTAAGCTCAGGTTACCTTAAATTGTGTTTCTGGAATTACTGACAACAGTGTACATTTCTTCTTGTTTGTTTCACATTTTTACTAAGAACTGTTAACTGCCTTCTTCACTAATCACATGGTTGTGACTAATTGGATAAAAATGTCTGTGTTTTACTCTGTTAGATATCGAGATTCAAATGTAATTTTTCAACATTTTCCTAGTTTCATTATTTTAAACTATCAGATTTATTAATCTTTTCTGGTTTAGAAATCTGAATTTGATGATGTGAGTCAATAAAAGGATATGGGAAAGAGGGGGTGGGAGGACCTAGAAGAAATCAAACAGTCATAATGAAATTCTTTACAGTTTTTAGACTTTGACAAATATTTTGCTGGACAAAACAGTTAAATAAATAAAAATTCTATCCCATAAGCACCCCCAACACAGTGCACATTAGGGAGTGTTTTGTTCCCTCCTCCTCACATTTGCAGCTAAACTTCACTAATATTATTACCATCACAAAGACACAGGTAATGACCTTATCATGCCTACTGGCTCAAGCCCAGTGCCAAATGCAGAGTGGGTCCCCCACAAATATTAACTGATAAGATCTCCTGTGTGACAACCTGACAACACAGCCAGAGATGAAATCCAGCTTCCTGACATTTCTTGATACCAGCAGATCCCGGAGTGTGGCAAATGCAGTAATACAGACACACAGTGCTCAGACAATGAGAATGGATTTTTGTTCAAGATATACTTCTGGCAAGATGCAAACTATTTAGATACTATGCTTCGCACATACCCACGTGTCTTCTAGAAAATGGAGCTGCAGGATGTTCTTTCTTTGCAGGTCAAACTCCCCACACCCACACCATTTTTTTCTCCAACTCCTACTTCCCAAAGGGCTGCTAGTGAGTAACTGTAAAACCACACATTTCCCATCTTATATCCATGTAATTCCTTTGTTTAGCGACTCTGGGAACACAGGAGTTTTAAACTAAAGCTGACTGGTGTTTAAAGGCATTGTGTCCCCAGGGTATGTGCACAGCTTTGAGTATTTTGCTTTGTAGCTCCTTCAGCTCCTATCAGTATAAAAGTGTAATGTCCCAAAGCTATAATTATATGACTACTTTCTAGGGTTTCAAAAGAGAAAGAAACTGTAACAGTATTTGAGTATCACAGAAACGGTGAGGACGAAGAGTTCTGTTTTAACACCAGATATTACCTAGGCTATAGTACTAACAAGGTCTTTTAAGCCTTGCTGTAAGGCTTACAGCTTGATTTATTCCAATAGACTAGAACAGTTAAGAAACAATTTGCATCAGAGCAGGGCAATGCATACTGGACAAGAATGAAAACTATGTCATTAGAGAATTCGCTTAATGGAAATCTAGGGTCAAAAAGAGTAACAGTCTATGACACTGACAGCAGGCATAGGGGACATGCTGTTGACATATGATTATATTTAGCAAGTAGTGTGAACCTGAAAGATTTGAGCAAAAAATCACATGCATTTTGAAGTCTTTATGTAAGGTTTCTTTTTTTTTAAGTAGCTGAAACCTTCATTTTGTTAAAAATTATGCTGACTGCTGTAAAACATGGTTTCTGGTAATACTGGGGTTAATTCCAAGTTGTTAAACAAATTAACTTTTTAGTGACCTTATCTTGTACAGCAAAATTAACATTACTCTAAAATGTTGCCTGAGGTGTTTATCCAAATATCTTTCTTGTTTTTCCTTTTGGAAGTGAACCTTTACACTAAATAGGAACATATATCAACTAAGTCTTGGAGTTCATATGGATTATAAGAAACAGTGTATGTTCCATTCAATAACATCAGATATTTTTGCTCTAATGAGTCATTCTTGAAGTAGCTTATATAGCAATTCACATTTGCTCTGAACTTCCCTGATGACTAAGTAAAATCTCCTGTCATGACAATGATTTAAAAATGAACATGAGTGTGGTAACGATCAAGTCAGAAACACCATGTTGCTTTAGAAAGCATGATATATGGGAATATCTGTTAGAATAATGTGGAGTAAATGCTCAGAGACTATTCATTCATATAAACTAAAAATCACTTCCATCTTTAAAAATCATTAATTCAAAAGCTAAATAGTCAAATTTCAGATTCCCCCAAACCCACCAATTACCCTGGCGGACAGCATTTTTTCTTTGTCATTAGACGCCAATGCATTCTGTTCCTAATCGCTACAGATCACATTTTCCATTCCTGTTGCTCAAATAATTTTAAAATAAGATGATGCGTAATTCAGAAAGATTGTGTTAGACAAGCAGCTTATTCTAAGAGCTGACAGTATGCAAACAATGAGCTAGTTTATTCCTTTTGAGTGGGCATAGTTTTGCAGACACTTGCTAAAAAGAAGACTCATTCTATAGCACCTTCCTTCAAGACCCCCACCCCACCCCGGCAAATCCAATTATTTCGGAGAACGTGGTTTCCATTCTCTTTTGACCTTTCCCTGGGAGAGAGGGAGTTGTTAAGAGTCCCACTTGCTCCCTCCCATGACACACCCACAGGGGGCCATAGCCTTTCCTGTGGTTTGCCTGGTCCTGGGGGCATTCACATTCAGCATGGACAACCATTGCCCCTCATTTCATTCAGTTATATGTGTGCTCATTACACTGCCGTCTGCTGCTAGAATGCTATTCATTTTCCTTTTGATATTTTAAGAGCAACCTATAAATCATTCTGCCTTTCACTGGTGCCATCATTAATGCTTGGTAATAATGCTCTGGCACTATGTTCACGGTTAAGCTTATCACACAAGCAGGTAAACAAGCATCTTCTTTCTCCCCGATAGGTTCAGCATGCCTGCGAGTTGAACAAACCACAAACTTTTTCAGAGTTGTGCATGCTAATTTTAGGAAGATAAGGTAAGGTGGCTTAAATAATGGCCTGAGATGCCAAGCAGAGGGCTTTCACTGCTGTGTGCACTTAAAGGCTGCATGAAGTCAATGCTTTTATGGGAAAGTTAGAAAATGGTGCTAACCGAGCTAAATATTTCCAGAAGTAGTGGGTTGCAGGAAATCAGAAATTATAGAAAAAGTGTAAAAGTGGCCACAGAAGGGCTTGTGTGCACATAAAACAGGGAGACTGGAATCTGAAAGCAGGTATCTTTTGCGTGGACAGTACTCACCCAGCTTGCACAGGGGATCTGCCTGGGCTGCTGTCGCTCTCGTTGCTGTTGGTATGCTCCATTGCCCCATTCAGCTCTTCCCGCATGGTGCTGGCTAAGTTGCCCAGAGTGGGATTTCCCATGGAAGCGGTAGTGTATAGAGGTATACTATTCTCAGCCATCGAAGCCTGCCATCAACCAAGAGAAAATTTATGAAGATGTAGGGTATGCATAGAGAGGAAAGCTATTAATTACAGGTGTATTCTATAATCTCCAGTTTAAGAGCATTGTAGCATGGTTGGCAAATTCAGGTTTCTAGAGTGAGACAGATTTTGCTTTAAAAGTAAGACTTGTGACACATGTTCCAAGCCTGGTTTCAAAGAGCTACCTGGGCGGGGGGAGGGGGGGCACAATTCAGCCCTGCTGCATAGAGTCACATGGTTCAGACAAGGTGATCTAATGAGGTTTATGCCTGATGCCTTTTTTCAAGAGCAACTGAATATTTCCAGATCACACGGAACTATAATGGAATTTTCATTTCTTTATCCACTTTGATGACTCCAGTATTAGATATTAGAGATCTGATTAGATTATTCTGGCTGCACAGCTGAAACTTATGAGAATTTCCATAAACATTTACTTCATAGAACCTATAGAAGAGGAAGAGACTATAGAATTGGAATCAGTTTTTATCTCCCATCATTCCCCTTTTTAGTGATTTCTGAATTCGTTCAGTTGCAGTTTGAGACAACTCATTGAAGGTAATACCACACAATCTTTCAGACTCAGATCAGACCACTCACCTAGAATTTTAGGACTATAAATCAATCTATCTATCATCTATCTATCTATCTATCTATCTATCTATCTATCTATCTATCTATCTATCTATCTCTGCCACAAAGAAACTCTAAATCATTTCTTTTGGATGCTTAAGTAGATCCATACTGAGGGTGACAAAGTCAGCTGAAATGAGTGTCTGCAAAAAAAGTGTGAAAATTAAAAGAAAAATTCCTGAACTCTGTAGTGGAATACTGTTCACTTCCTATCTTACTGCATTTTAATAAAATGACCACTCAGTCTGAAATGCAGAAAATAGTCAACTATGTCACTGGACTAAAGTCTCCATACTGTTTCATTTGGGTAGTGATTATGATCCAGGGACTTTTCATTTTATTGAAGAGGACAGACTTTCAAAAACTGGCAGTTGCAATTAGACCAAGATTTATCAAAACTGTCCTCTTGCAGGCCACACTATGCCTGGTTTTCCATCCTAATGAGGAAAAATTATAGCCGTAAGACAATCTGGTATGTGACTTCAATTGGCCAGTCATGTAGAGTCCAAACTATTCTAGAAATCCTGGCTCTAGACAGAAAGTAAGAACCAAACATGGAGAAAGAATGGATGTAAAACTGGGCTGCAGGGAACCTTCCTATTATGATAATTGCAGTGCCACTGTATAAATGCCAAAGCCTGAAAAGCCTTCTGGATTCAAGCCCCATGTTAGAAGAACTATACACACCTAACCTAGCATTGGCTAATGGACTATTTCAAAGCCAGGCCGCCTGCAAGCCCACAGCTTTTCCTTCCCTCCACTTCAAAATTCATATAACTACCTTCTTTTAAAATGTGGGATTTTAACCCTGGCTGGCGTAGCTCAGTGGATTGAGTGTGGGCTGTGAACCAAAGTGTCACACATTCGATTCCCAGTCAGGGCACATGCCTGGGTTGCGGGCCATGGCCCCCAGCAACCGCACATTGATGTTCCTCTCTCTCTCTCTATCTCCCTCCCTTCCCTCTCTAAAAATAAATAAATAAAATCTTTAAAAAAAAGTGGGATTTTTATTTCCAAAATGAGTGAACTCATTCTGATGAATAGTAAATTTGAACATTTGTCATTTTCCTGCAGTTTGTCAAATAATTTGCATCTAGTACTTTTTCAACAAATCTCTTGTAATTGCAATAATACATTTTTTATTTTTTGGCAGAGCAAAAAGCAGGAGTAGTTTCTAGACGTGTGTGGTATGCATGTGTGTGTGCGCACAAACCGCAGCTGGATAAGCATCTTAACTGCCTTTATTTGAAGCAACACAGTGGTCATGCCTCTGCTGGTCATGAAAACTCTGTTAGGACTATCATCTGAATCACTTTCCCCCAATATACCACAAGATTGGCTCTCACTAGCTCATTTCTTTATTATATAGTCAGAATGTGGTAAAAGTGAGACCATCCCTAGCTTAGTATTTTAGCAGCTGCTCAAGACAAATATTGAGAAGTAAAAATAAAATTGAAATGTTTATGAGAATGTGCTCTTTGGGATGAGGTACTCACCCAATGGGCAAGGCAACCTTCTTGGGGTAATTTGTTCCCCTTAGCTCTTGAAGGGTTCTAGGTCTAGGCCATTTCTGATTGGGATTGCATCATAAAACATGGGCAGAGACCCAGAAGCCACAGTAGCAAAAGGTATCCATAAGGTAAGTACTTACACTGACGCTTTGGTTCTCAAACAAGAAAAATGCAAGTGAAGAAACCCAGCACTGTCCATTTAAAAAATAATTCATGGGCTGCAAAGAGAACCCCGTGCCTGATACATAATAGAGCCACTTGAACATTCTTTGTTGAGTGAGTGATCTAAGCAACCCACTCAAGGTTAGAAAATTTTCCACCAATGCTTATGCCTAAACAAGTGGTTCCTTTTTTAGTTGATGTCCACTTAAGGAACAGCTGGGCTACAATTTTTATGATGGACTTAATTGTTTAAATGACCCTGTGCACAGTATGTGGTTTTGTACCAAACTGGCACCTCTGCCGAGAAAACGAAGGTGCTTAACTCATGGTGCTAAAGTCCGCAAGTACCATTGCTCCTGGAATGTGAACCACTCTGAGGTCCCTAGGGAAAAGACAGTCTATAAATATGAAGCTTTACAGTTACCCTTAGTTACTATACTTTTTCAAAGCATAATGCAATCTGTCCCAAGTCCAATGTTTTATTTCTGTAGTAGATTCTGCTGTCCTGTTTTATATATTGTACATCTTGCATTATGTTACTCTAGTAATCTTTTAAAGATGTTATTCCACTATTATTTTTACTTGTCTTGAAAAATGGAAATGGGCAATAATGGAAAGGAAGGCCTGCTGGTAGAATCTTTATTTAATTTGCACAGCAGAAAGTTCCCTTATGAGACTGTCTACTGACCATGGATCCATCCTGACAGAGGACAGAGAAAGGACCACTCCTCAATATGAAATTGTACCAAATGATTTACCTTACTTCATTATGGACATAAAGTGTTCTTGGAAAATGCAGTAGCATTTTGGGCTCCCACTAAAATAAGGAAAGGTGCAGAGGATGCAAAAAACAAATGTCTTAAAGATGAAACTTGAACAGCTGTGCAATGATAGAGCATTCTAAATGAAATTAGTTATACAGTTAAGGGAATCCAGAGGATGGAGGATCACTGCCTTTTTTTTAACCCTTTCTACCTCATGAATGTAAAATGAGCTTATAATCTTAATACTATTCTAGGGACAGCAGAGCAGCCTTTAAATTCACACTTCATGAGACTCCAGGGAAAATAAGTTACTAATGAATGGTATTTACAGTTGTGGTATCTAAGCATGCTTTCATTTGCTTTTCTAAAGTTACTGTGTAAACTACAAGTAATTAAAAGAAATGCAGAGAGTACTTCCTCCTGTTAAATTTGGGTCAGGCTAAGAATAAATAAATATAATTACTGAAAAGCTAAGTTCAATGAATTTGCCTCCGCACTGAAACTGTGTAAAAGGCATGTCGTCCATTCTTGGGAGCCTGAAGCCTCTGCTGAGTGATCTGGGAAAATAATTTTGTACGATACAGAGTAGGTGCTCAATAAATATTTGTTTAATGCATAGCAAAGCCATCATTGTCTCCTCTTTAACCCACCCCATTCCCATAATACCAAGTGTCTCAACCATTCTTTAATTATCATCTTATAAAGAGCCTTTTTTAGACTTTAGCTTCTCTATTTGTGCTGTCCCCTCATGAAGTCTGAATATCTGTTTATGTACAATGCCTGCTAGAGGGGACACAAGACATTGTAATAGCTAAGTACCAATTTTAGGGTGACACAGTCCCCATCAAGAATGCATGCTAGCAAAAATGTCCCTTGGAAATCTCTGCTTGATACTATTGCAGAGAAGGTCTGCAATAGTATTAGGTCACGTATGCCAGCTCAATCTATAGAATATGTCATCTAAAAGTTACCAAGAGTCCCTAGGCCTCTGTTCCAGAATAAGGTAGGCAAGGTCAAAATCAATCAGGAACATTGGCCAAAGGGAAAGCCTGCCTGTGAAATCCTGAAAGAGGCTTGAATACTACCCAGGTACTTTAATGAGGTGGTACTTCAGTCTTCTTGTGGACTTATGAAATGACTTTACTACTTGGTAACTGAGGAATACAGTGAATAAAAGGCTTGCAAGATGCAGACACCGCCCTCGTAACTCATGTTAGTGTGGTAATCTCCCTCCTGCTCAGTGCAAGGGGTCATTCCCCTCCTACCACAGTACCACCAGTTCCTGCCCTGGGCTTGCTGTCAGAAGGTAATGTTCTGTGTGCTCACTATGGGATCTGAGATATCTGCTGGAATCCTAAAGAGTTTTCTTTAACACCTCTAGCATTTAAACAAAAATAGTTTACTATTACAAAGCATCCTCCACTCCAGACCAAAAAAAAAATGATGCTAAAACAGACTTTAAAAGAAGAAATAAAAAGCTCAGCTTTCCCTTTAAGCCTGTGAACAATAGAAGGTCATGTGATCCAGTGGCCTATCATCCAGCACATTAATAGCTGTGCTAGAGTAATTACACTTGTGGTATTTTTGCCTCAAGTGAAATTCTGAAATAAGAGAATGGAAATTATGATACTGCTGATAAATATTAATAAGTGAACTTTTAATTTTTTTGCCACAATATTCAAAATGCTAAGCATCCTGCTAATGCTGAAGCAGCCGATGTGTTTGCCTCCAGGGAGGACGATGCTTTGTGCACTTAAGAAAAAAGTTTAACGGAATTAAAATTTAATATCTAATTAGAGTGAGGCTAATATATTTTGAAATGAGTGGGGGAGACATGTGCCTCTGCCATGTATTCGGGACAGCCGTTAATCTTACCTGTAAAGCTGCATTGAGAGGTGTGCAGTAGGCGTGGCTGCTCTGCATGTTTTTAATGAGGGAAGGATTACTGCATAAGAAAAAGAAAAAACTCCAAGTTAAATGCAAGCAACCCCTGAGTTCCCAGATAAATTTTGTTTACGCTTACTGGTAACCTTCCAAATCAGAAATTTCCCCCACTATCAAAACCAAAGAGAAGTTAGGTTTTCTGGCTTTACTGGGCTGGTCTGTGTAAACGCCTCTGGGAATATAGATTATGCTCTTCAAGGAAACTGGACATAAAATTCTGGCTTAAGTAATGGGCACTCCATCCACTGAACAATATTTATATCAAAATAGTGACCTCTCTGCCAATCTGTAACAGCTTCCCTTACTCTCACAGAAAAGCAAAAGCAGCCTGGGTACTGGCCTGGGGAGTCAGGGAGCTGACTGTAGCATTCTGGGGGTGAGCTAGCACAATGTTGGCTCTTACATCTCTCCATGATTTGAATTGTAGAGTTACTGCTAGAGAAATGGCATGGTGGCTCGTAATGAAGATCTCCAAGGGACATTTTTGCTAAAGGAAAATAGAGAACAGGGTATGCCAAAACATGATCATTGCTAAGTAAGCCAGGGGGTTGGGCTGAAGCTTTTCTTCCATAGCCAAATCTAGGAGGGTATGGGAAAATAAATAAATAAATAAATAAATAAATAAATAAATATCTTATCTATCTATCTATCTATCTATATATATATAGTATAGTGTGTCTGCTAACTGAAGACATGACACAGTTTTAAGAACATCTCTAGCCTGGTAAGAGTAAAAATGCCAAATAAGCAGAGAGGAGATACTGTGGGGAGAGAAGGGCTTTTGGTAGTGAAGGACTTCCATTTACTGGTGGCATTTAAAGGAACTACAGGTGCTGTTACCCATTTCTATCCTAAGCGTGAAGCATTTTAATCAAACATGTCACTAAATTTATATTATTATATAAGCAAAAATTAGAAGAAATTTACCCAAATACACATATTAACTCTAAATAAAAACTTCCTTTTTCCTTGGAGGAATTACAATTACACACAGAAGTATTTAGTTACAGGGTCCCCGTATGCTGCTGAATCAAAACATAACCAGTATTTGCATTAAAGATATCAAAAAAGCATTATTCAAGGCACTGGTGTTCCACAGAGAAACGAGAAATATACATGTACAAATCATACAATTCAGTTCTGTTGCAGAAAGCTGTGGCACTGCTACTTGGTGAAATGCAAAACTACATGGGATGGGTCAACCATGCAAAGCCAAAGCAACAGCAGAAAAAAAAAACAAAAGCAAGTAAAGGCTCTTACTGTGCGACAAGCTCGTCAAAGTTTTCATCGGGGCAGTATTTGCGAGGACGGCCTCGTTGAATATGGCGGCCACGTTTAAACTCTTCGTCATCAACTGTCCAAAAGGACCCAAACTCATCCTCTACTCTGACAAAGCACTTATGCAGTGAGAGGTTGGTGCGAATGGCACCCTGGGATAGGAGCAGCAGCAAAGGAGATGAGGTGGCAACAAAAGGAGACGGGGTTGGGGGTAGAACAGACATCCAATACAGGGAACAGGAAAAAGAAAATAAAATGCAATAAGCATAAGCAAATGGTTTGTGAGGGTTAATATGCATTGCCACCTAAAAGCTACTAGCATGTGATGCAACAAAGACTGGCAAGCAGGGCGGGGACTGGTGGGCATACAAAACAGGAGGGATGAAATGCTTTTTTGCTTCCCTTAACTGAGACAACGTGAGACCAGTCTTTTGGTCTAACACCATCTTGCAGCCAAAGCCTCTATGTTACACTTGTTAGCACAATCCAAGCTGGGCTGAGAAGTTCAAACACGGTGGACGTACCCACTGATCTTTTGTGGCCTTCGTTTTTGGAACTCTACTTCATCCACTGTCCATACTGCCCCTTTAACGTTTTCTACTCGCACAAAACACTTGTGAAGACTAAGATTATGACGCACTGCATTCTGCAGCAAGTATAAAAGAGAGAACATTTACATTTTCTATAAGAAAAGACTCCAAAAACAGCAGTAAATTCAGCCTAACAGTCCACATTTGTAAAACCATCCCCAAGAGCTATAGCAACCACCCCCGTGGACAACCTTTTTTTGTGGTCAAGAGTGCCTTGTCCAAAAGCAAAGATTAAAAACCTAAAACCATAAGTTGTACTTTGGCATTTTAGTCCAGTCTCTCTCTGGTTATAGCAATCCAGAAGAAAAAAAATTTAATATGTTTATAAGCCCAAAATAGATTTCAGAGTAAAACTCTGAAAATATTGTTAATATGACTTAAAAATAAGGAAACATGTACAGCATATAATTGACCCTGTAAATTCACTTACCTCCCATAAAAAAGGCAGTTTGTTTCTATGTTTTAAACCACGAAAGGTGAAGACTCAATTATTATTATTCAATATATTTTGTTCTCATTCCTTTTGTTTATTAAAGTTTTGACTTTAAAATCTTCTATGGGTTTTCTCAGATGTATTAAGAAGAAACCTAAATTGGATTTTACCATTGAGAGTATCACCTCCTGTAGCTGACAGAAGCAGGGGATGAAATGACCCCCAGTGGATCAGTATCCATCATCAAGTTATGTGTTACCCTCCGGAATCTATATAGAAATTGGCCCTTACTATGGGCAAGCACCTTAATTAACTGAGAAAATGCCAAAGGAACATATGAGTAGAATTCTCAATGGGAAAATGATGATATTCCTGCATTAATGGTTTCAACAGACACATGTTTCTTCCCTATGGTTAAAAAAAAAGTCATCACTGTTCATTCCTAAGCAGAAACCCGTGACATCTATAATCTATCAGAAAGAAGGATGTCAACTGAGGGTTGAAAAGCTTCTCACATCTCATCTCTCCTTTGAATTCCAGAAAAATCCACAACTCTTACTGGATCCAATAACAAGCATGCCTTCATTTCTTTAGTTCTCTTTAGTATAAACTTACTGATCCAGACTTAAAAACAGACATGAGGACATTACAAAGAAACACATGTCATTTACTCAAACTTTCTTCTTATAAGGAATATGCAGGTGACAGTGGCATGAGAAGTTGATGCCTACATCACACTTCATATACCCTGCTTCAATCCCTTTACTCAATTCCATTAAAGTTGCTATTGCTCAAACATTTTGTACCCCTCCCATTCTACCATTTGCAATATTTCCTGTCTAAATTAGCCTTCAAATGAGAAATCTTAACATTTTGAGAAGGGTTTCAATTTCTGAATAATCACCATTGATAACTCTGATGAGTCAAACTAAATAATAATGAAAAGACAATCAGACAAGTTTTATTACATGGCCTGATGAACCTGCCCACAAGGAGAATCCACATGATGAATTCTCAAGTTAGCTTTGCATGAAAACAAAACAAAACTCTCTGAAAAACATTTGGCATGTTATAATTATACTTAGTAAGACCAATTTCTCTGCACATAAATTGTAGTCTGGTCTCTAAATAAACCTATTTTTTATACTGTACACAGGTACAGTACAAGGATGCTAAGCATCTGTTGTTATCTCTTAGAAGAACACTGAGGAGTTGGAAATAAATACACCCAAATTTCATTAAAAAAACAAAACAAAACAGACTGAACATGTATACATACAGGAGACATAACTGGGAAAGAAATCCACATTACTTCTCATCTTAATCACTGTTTGATGTTTTAAAGTAAGCAGCAAAATGTACAGGACTGAAAAGATCTAAAGGAGCCATGTCTGGAAGAAAGAATGCTTTAGATCTGTCTGAACTACATAACCATGTAAGTAAAGATGTAAGGTCAAAACTTAAGTTTTGTTTTCAAAGATGTTGTACATCTAAGCAAAAGCAAGTAGAAATCAAGAGTCCCCCGAAAGATGAATATGCTCTTGTCAGTCATCACTTTAACTGGACATTTCATCTTTTTTCTAAGATCATAATACAAATAAGGACACATAGAGGAGATTATACATATTGGTGAATCATTAAGTACTTCATTTAGGATTACTTATATTAACAACACTTTCTTCTATAGTTTACAAAAATGAAAATGTTAAACCTAAAGACCTGAGCTTAAGTATCATAGTCACAACTGATAATTCTTTTTAAATGTGATTATTTGCTATTTATAAAAGGTAATTTGAAGAAAATGTCTGCTTCACACCATACGTTCTAAATTTTGAAAAGCATTCATAGCTAAACTTTGTATTTTACCTCCCAAGGCAAGTGGAGGAAGAGGGTAGAATTTTAAACACAGGTTGCCTTCATTGCCCATGTATCTTAATGGAAATAATAAAGACATTTCAGGCCACATAGATATCCATAGCTCTGTAAATTTGATGAATTAATTCTACCATTATATTCATTTTCTTTTAAAATGCTAATTTATCAAGAATGTAACAGAGGAAATATGATTTGTTTTTGCTTGTGTTTTTCTCCCATATTAAGTTAAAGAGGTAACAATAAAGACATTTCTTTTAAGTAAAACAAAATTTCCTTATATCCCATAATAAATCCCTATTGTATTTAAAACAATGACATGTAAAAATACACTATAATATTTTCATTTTAAATCTATCTAAATGTTTTAGAATTTAGGGAATATAAAAGTTCTAGGTAGTAAAAATGCAAAAAAAAAAAAAGAACCTCTCACAAATATTATATTGTGCCTGCCTTCTTGTCCACTAATATCAGAAACTAAGAAATTAAAAATAAGTGGGAAAATTCAAAAATTTGTGAAGGCTTCATCTAACACATCAGAATAAATACTAACAGAATCTATGAACCAATTGCTGAACTGAAAAATGAGGTATGTCATGTGACCTCACACTTTGTTAGGGGTATCCAACATGGACCTATGGGCTTTGATCTGTTTTAAAGCAAATGGGGGTAAAGTGAAGTTATATAATTCCAAAGCTACTTTTCTTCCCCAGAATATCTGACAGTTTCTTGACTTAAAAAAACAAAAAAATTAATCAAGTATTGTGTTCTCCTGTAATAATTCCCACATATAGTGCTAGTGCTTGGATTGCAAAGCTTCCTTCACTAATTGGGCTAAGGAGATTTTATACAACCAAAGAAAGTTATGTCAAGTTTGTCTGATCATTTCTCCAGGTCCTTAATGGCATAACAAATTATCTATGCATCACTGCAAATACTGGTGGTGGCTAAAGACATAAAAGCATGATGTTTGTGTTAAGTAATAGGACAACCTCAAAATGAGGGCAACAGTGCCCTGTGCTCCTTTCTCCTACATATTCCAACCAGAGGGGGCTGATTTTATTGGATGGTCCATCCAAATGTCTGATGACAATCTAATGGGAATCTTAAATCCCAGTGTTTTAACCACAATGGAACTATTTTCTTAAGCAACTATTACTATACATTAGACTCTTTGAGTGGATCAAAAAATGTTAAGGTAACTTACAACAACTGCATTTTTTTTGCAACAACAGAATTTCTTCTAGAAATGGTAAGATCAAGACTGAACAGGCCTGTGAGAAAGATTACCTTCCATGTGGCTGCATTGCGTCGAAAGTAAGCAAACATTCGTGTGAACCAGTTATAGATTTCATTTAGTGTTAGCTGCTTTTCTGGAGATTCAAGAATGGCCTGTGAAGTCAAAGTAACAGAAGATAATTTATGACCAAGTCAGCAGAACTGTCATTAAACAGTTTCTTGAAAATATAAAATAACCATGTTTCACAGCTAAATCCTAAGAAAGGTTTTACAAAATGATCTCAGATTAATGGTTGTATTTAACAGCTCAATAGTAAAACTCAAAATGAAATTATCTAATTGTTTTGAATTTTTATTTCTGTTTCCATACAGAAATATTAATTTATTAGTCATTCATAAAGAAGAATCAAAGAGAAATGCAAAACATTTCACTAACTGATTAAAGCTCAGTAATTATTTAGAGCTCAGATTAATTCTAGGGATCAGAGATTACTGTAGCTTGTGATAATTGACTTGCCATCTTTAAACAGGCTCATTTTCACTGTTGTGTGAAATGAATTTCCTAATAATCACATCGTATTGTAATACTTAATCAAAAGCAATTATGTTATATATTTCAGTTTTAAAAAACCTTATAGACAAGGTTTTAGCATGCCTGCATTCTAAATGGTTTTAAATCTACTTCATCAATACAATATATCCATGTACACGTACACCTTTTGATTTAACTTTGTATGTATTATTTACTTACCTGCCTAATTAAGGATGCGTATGTAAATGGTGGTCTAACTTCTGCATTCTTATAAAATTCTTGGTTCTGCGCAATATCTGCTAAATAAGAATCATTGTCTTGTTAATTATGACATTTGAGGCTGGTTTACAAAAATTGCATGTTGCAATTTTACATGAGGCAGAAATAGATTATCTACCTGAAGAAATGGGCACATTGTATTTGTCTGAGTACCGCCTGCGGATGGGTCCCACCGTGTGCATACTGGTGGTGGTGATGACGGAGGGTCCTTGGGTGTTGGGAGTGATGGGGGCAGTTGGGGTAGTTGGAGTATGAGGTAAGCTCTGTGGAGAAGCCTCTGATGCAGATTTAGAGAGTGTGACACTCGATACCAGATTCAGCTGTAAGAAAAGAACAATTCTTAGAAGACCTTTAAAAAAAAATACAGAACAACTAGGAAAGCAACTCAATTATAGCAAGAATAATAAAGAGGGGATGCCTGGCTAGTTTTACTTCTCTAAGTAGATGTTTCTAATCAACTGAAATATGAGGTGAGTTTCCATGTAAACACAACTCACTCAGTAGTTTGCTGGGATTTGTGGATATAGACCTGAACTCTGCAACAAGACTTTCTGCAGTGTGCCATATATAGAACAAGTGAGTAGCTGTTTTCACTTAATTTGTTTTAAAGATTTTATTTATTTATTTATTTTTAGAGAGAGGGGAAGGGAAGGAGAAAGAGAGGGAGAGAAATATCAATGTGTGGCTGGCCTCTCATGTGCCCCCTACAGGGGACCTGGCCCACAACCCAGGCATGTGGCCTGACTGGGAATAGAACCAGCAACCCTTCCATTCACAGGCTGGAACTCAATCCACTGAGCCACACCAGCCAGGGCTGTTTTCACTTAATTTTTAATAATAAAACCTTTAGGTTTAATGAATTTAAACTTAGTCATGTGTCAGCAGTGCCTCTATCATGTTACACAGCACAGAGACATGCTACTAATATTCACAATAAAACATCTTAGATGGGAACTACTACAAGTATGTTTGACTTGTGACTGAATTAAAACAAGTTATATTGATCCAGTAAGCTGTCATTTTGTTCTATCAGCCAGGAGAGACTAATCATTGAAAGCTTTATATGTAATCTTGACTACTCTATCAAACATGGGATTGGAATATACTAATGAGGACATGGCATATGAGAGATATGGAACTATAAAATTTTTGATGAGTTTTCCTCTTCATGTTACAAATATTCACCAATATACAGCATAGGACAAAAGTAGGTTTTGTAGTTGTTTGTATGGAAAATAGTTAATAAATAATAACACAAGAAACTCTATGTTTCACAAACAAAAGTGTAAACACACTTTTGTTCCACTCTATACTGTAATAATCTATTGCATCAAGTAAGAAAATGAATACCATTTATTTGAAGTAATACAGAGAAAAATCAATAGTACTGTTTTGATTCTTTCTTTGTGTCTATCAACTTAAATTTCACCCTGAGTACTTCCTTTTTTAATACTGGAAAAAGAGGCTTATTCCCTTACCCCCCCTTTCCCCAAATCTGTTGTTATGGAAATATTAAGTCTGGCTGTGCTGAAGAACTTGATCATTTTCAACATATTTATTACAGTTTACACAGAATTGCTAACTCAGATACGTACAGTTGGCCCAAATCCAAAAAACTTCAGCAGAATAGGCTTACTTGATAACATTTTCTCAAGCCATATTTCGAATCACTTAACAAAATAAGACTGTTTCACCATCACAATAGTTCTAGTACAAGGCATTATTTGTGGAAGGTATTCAAAATGAGATTCCTCTGAGATCATAATCAAAGAACTTATTAAAAGAGAGTTCCAATTTATCAAGACGACTCAACCTTGCTCATACTCTAGTAATGAAAAGGCCATGAGAAACTTCTCTGCCTTATATGTTTAGAGTAATTCCATAAAAGGGCAATGAATTTGAAGAAAAAGGAAGATCAAATATCGTTAGGTAAGTAAGAATAGCAAAAAGTGTTGGAAACTGAATGTTGGGTTCCAGCTTTATTTGTGCTTTCTTTTTTATTCTTCCCTTCCCTTGAAATGGTGACTCTGTCAACCGAAGATCCCTGACCTGTACCCCTATGCCTGACAAGAACAAGCTAAGGACACTGCTCTGCCCTAACAAATCTCCAGTCAAGCTAGGCAGGTGCCAGGAGGACATGTTTTATTAGTGCTGGAAACCTGACTTCATGATGCACATCTGCAAACTGAGTGCTTGCAGTTCAGAGTAGCAGCTACAGAACAGAGCAATAGGGGAGGCTGCAGAGAAGCCAAGTGGGAAGGCTGGGGCTGATCTCTTTGCCTCAAACCTTTATCACTGACCATGTGCAAAAACTGTGTATAAGCATCAGCTCAAAGAGTCAAGAAAATAAGTGCATGACAGTCTAAAGCTCATAAATTTATAACTCTTAAAATTCAGAGGTGCTATGCTTAAGAATATCAGAATCCTCTGGAAAACCATGGATACCATGTGTAAAAACCAAGTTGTAAACTTGCCACTGTGTGGTTTTTACTTAATTCTCATACTACCACTAACACTTGAGATGTTATTACTCATATTTTACAGATAAGCAAACTGAGACTCATGAGAGATTGAATAACTTGCCCATATTCACAACCTGGACCCAAAGTCAAACATGCACTTGTGATCCTAGGCCTTTTGGACAGACTTCTTATGCCCAGGTAAAGAGGGAAAACAAAACAAAACAAAACTAAACTAACTAGTTTTATTTTTCTGCAGGCTCATTTTTGGAAAGGATTCAGTTATCCCTGGTTCTGAATGACATACAGTAAATATTCCTGAGCAAATATGGGGCCTTTGATATTAAACAGAACATGCAATTGCTGCCCTTGACGAGCTTATCATCAAATGAAGGCACTGATCCAAGGAAAATGTGCCAACCACCTTAAAACCTTTCTGAGGACTAACTTGACTTTCTGGCCTCTTTTTTCAGTTTACAGACATTACCCTAAATACTGTAACTTTCTTAAAAATGTTATGAAAATTTTTTTAAAATATATTATTTATTTTTAGAGAGGGAAGGGAGGGGGGGAGAGAGAGAGAGAGAGAGGGAGAGAGAGGGGGGGAGAGAGAGAGAGAGAGAGAGGGGGAGGGAGGGGGAGAGAGAGAGAGAGAGAGAGAGAGAGAGAGAGAGAGAGAGAGAGAAACATCAATGTGCAGTTGCTGGGGGTCATGGCCTGCAACCCAGGCATGTACCCTGACTGGGAATCGAACCTGCGACACTTTGGTTCGCAGCCCGCGCTCAATCCACTGAGCTATGCCAGCCAGGGCATGAAATTTTAATATAAATACAACATCTTTAAAAAATATGTGTGCTCCTTTCCAGTTTTGTGGAAAAGATCACCAAGTCTACTGGGTTCTACTCTAATTGCCAAACACCAAATCTCATGTAAACACTCAGGAAGTGAAATCCATCTCTGGGTGCTCACAGGCAACAGTGACAGACAAGTCACATATGACGATGACAAAAATGTAAGGAGAGTCTGACTCTTACAGCTTTTACAAAGGTCTCAACGCTTGGAACATTCCCACCAAAACAATAGCAGCGAAAAATAAAAGTTTTCCAGGTTAGCATGATCCACGAAGAAAGAAATATACTAGAATTATATGGAAGTTTTTGAACATCAGTAGCAATAAACACTTAGCCAGAAGAAAGCAGAGAGGAGGCTTCCTAGACTTGACAAATGACACCGTGATCCACACCCACTGCTGGGCTGTTTCTAATAAGCCACAGAGGAAGCAGCCAATCTGAGCTAATTACCAGATAAAAATGTATTGTAAAGACTCTAATTAGGAGATGAGGATGGAGTTGATCTAATGATTAAATGCTGCATTCGACTGACCCCACCATCAATGTGCAGTGGTGCAAGATGTCACTGGAATATTTTGCAGAAACAGTAATTTTATTTCAAGGAGGGGAGGCAGTAATATTTGTAATGATGGCTACGAGGTAAACTAATTAAAAGACAGTTCCTAGAGGAAGAGGGTGGCGAAGAGCAGCTGTGGCCATTCCAACACCAAATGCCAAGTCTCAATAGAGGGACTGCAGTCAAGTGGAAAATTTCTGCCTGACCTCTGCCCTTGCTATTAATTTGCAGGAAAACTAATGACACATATACATATTCCCACAAAATTGTTCTAATTGCTAATTTGCCAAAGGAGCCCAGATTCCAAATTAAACATGACTGTAGCCTGTGAGAGAAGAGAGAACAAAAGGCTGTAAACTCCAAACACAGGGTGCTCTGCCATGCGAGATCATTTGAAGGCTGAACCAACAAGTTAATGAAATGTCAACCTTGTCAACTGCAATAGAAGTTTCTTTACTTCTAAACTTTTGTTCTGATCACATGCTTGTCTTGAGGAGAAGCCATCTTGGGGAGGAAGGTCACGAGGGACAGATAAGACAAGCAAGGGGAAGGGTTCAAAACAGGCTGTGTTCAAATCTGCTCTTTTAATTAAGGTCTGTCTGAAGACAGTGGACAAAAAAAATTAATTACAGACTCAGAAAAGCAAATCGGGAATGGTGTAGGTTTTTCTATAATCTTGAAATATTCATTTTAATTGTAAACTACTAAATCTTAATATAACCATCAATTCGAAATGAAAGCATATGTGCTTTGTATTTCTGACTGTAGCTAAGGTTTCAAAAGATAAATTTTTTCTAGGGCATGGAGCAGGAAGGGATTGAACTGGGAGGGTTTCTTTTTGTATTTTTCTTATTGTGTTCATTTTCTATTTAAAAAGAAGTTGCTATGTTTAGAAAAGTTAGTAACTCTGATATTTTCTACATGGCAAGTTTCCACCATGTGATGATTTGGGCAAAGATAATCTCTTTGAAGTCTGGCCAAAAGTTAAATTCTTATGTCACTCAAAATTGCTGTAGGATTTTATTTTTTTTTAATTTATGTGTACCATCATCACTGAAGGACTGTCCTGGGAATCTTACCAGCCCAGCTATTGTAACTGTCTCACTACCTAATATTCTGCTTAGCCCTTTTGCAAAAATCAATCTTTACTTTATAAACAGTAACCTCTGCTTTCTTTTAAAGATGATGAGTCATTCCTATTAAAAAAACATAAACAAACCACTGATGCAAACCCAGACAGAAACAGACTTGTCGTCAAATATTCCCATAAGAACTCATTTTTATTTTTGTTTGTGCTCTTGTCTCACATGAGAACAGATTCTGAGAACAAAAGACAATCCTGAAACCAAAACACCAAGAGACCTCACTGCTTAGTAGGGGGCTTTCAGCCACACAGAACTCGTGTTTCTGCTGTTGGTTTTACTGGCCTGAGCAGCTCGAGTCCTGCTTTAACTGTGATGGCATTTCTAGAAATGAATCACTCGCATTTGTTCAGGCAGGGCCTTTCTGAGGCTGAAGGGACATTCCCAGACTGCGGGAGGCTAGGACGAGGTGGCAGGGGGAGGCTTTTGTTCCCAGCTTTGCCTTCCTTCACCACTTAAGCCTGGCCCCGTGACTGTGTTAAAGGGGCTGGTGTCACTGACAGTGACACGCAAAACAAAAACACGGGTACTGAGTTGAGGAAGAGACTTAATGAGAAAGAGTGTATAAAAATAGCTCCATGTGTCTGTTTGAGAACCTCCTTCTCTGACTGCTTAACGCTGTCTCTTAGCCACAGCTGGGTGGCATTGGCCCAAATGGTTGGCTGTTTCTCTGAGTTAAAAGACCCCCTCGCACACAGGGAGCACTGTGTTTTTATAGCAGCTAAAACTATTTCAAAATAGTCCTAATTGCTATGGTTAGAGGGAAAGAGAATGTGTAAAAAGGAAAATCCAATACTACATTTCACTTCAAATATTCCAGTTCCTCTAAGTGTTTTATAACATTTCATAAGGAGAGATATATGACCTGCACTATAATTACCTGTCCACCAAATCTGAAGGAATGCAGTTTCTCCAGGACCAGGGGTTGTGCTCTGGTGTGTAGAAATACCCTAAAGCAAGGTATACTTTCCATGTAGTCAGTATTATAAAGTGTGATTTACAATGTTTTTCTGACATAATGATAGTGAAGTCTTTTAAAAATATCCTTAACAATTTAATAAAGTCGTAACACAGGCACACTTCTTTTTGTTGCTGTAACTGTTTTGTCCATTGAGTTACTCCTCCCTCCCAGGAAATAGCTCAGCTAATTCTGCATGGAGTATGTATGAAGACACTATGTTTGGTATTTACTTTGACAATGTTACTGACTTTGGAACCAAAGAATATTAATCACATTCATCATGATAGTTTTCTATTGTCTGATTTTTCACTTTTGCTTCTCTTACCATGGGACAGGAATCTTCTAAAACTCAAAATACAATAATTTGACTATTCTAAACATAAGTCTAGAAAGGCTTTTCCCATCACATGTGCTCAACTGCTAGGACAGGCAGCTGCCCTGGGAAATTCACACACCCTCCCATCAGGGCCCAGCTTTAATACCGTGGAAAGTATGAAATGCCTGCTTTGATGTTGGCTATTTCTTAACTTCCTCCATACTGCTCCTCATTGCATACCTTCCTTAGAGACACACAGACACACACACCTACTCTTAGCCCAAGGAAAGATTCATGAAGCTGATTTCTTTCCATTCCTTCCTATTTATCTAGGTTTCTTGATGTTACTTTGTCCAGAAGTCTTCCTAGACCCCACCAAAATAGCTCAGTGTTCTACTCAGTCATAGCACAACACATGCAGTGAGAGAGTGAATAAGAAATTGTGTATATGTGCATTTATATGTTAGTTTGTTCCAAAAGCCTCCAAACACCTCAAAGGCAGGGATTCCTGTAGCTACTTTAGTACTGTTTTTATGCAGCATGCCAATGACTATTCGTCATTGCAATAGCTTGATTTTAAATGCAACCTGCAGTCTGAGTTGTGGGTGTAATTATTTTGGGTTTGAAAGATTTTACAGTGAGCAGAAAAGGATGCTATTGAAGGGGTCCAAGGACTAAGAAGACTGCAAACTTATATTCCAGTTCACTAATATCCACCCGGCACGAGTGAGCTTGTACCCACTTCTAAAAACTTAAGGTCTGTCCTGAGATGAGCATATCTTCTAACTAGCCAAATGTGAAGACAAGTTCCACAATTGCATCCAGAAAATGCCATCTACAAATTGATGTAAGAACAATCCAAGAAGGTTTTGGCAGTTTCTTTGATGGAATGAAATGGAGACTGGTTGGACGACTAGATATAGCAAATGACACTTACCACCCAAATGACATTGAGTGAAAAGCAATGTTTATAGCACAGCATTCTATCACTTAGTAACTAAGAATTTAAAAATAAACATGAAGTTCCTTTTAAATAGAAATAGAAAAAAACCTCAAACTCACTATCAAGGCTGTAATATTAAAGTCCCCATCTATGGTAGATTTGAATCCTGGTAACTGCTTAACTTCCAATCAAAGATTCTAGAAGAATATGCATTTGAACATATACTGTGCATTCTATTATTTAAGGTGAAATAAATTAATTATAGGCAAAGGAGAATACTGTGCACATTAGACTCGATCACCAGATAGCTCTGTATCACTAAAGTTGGAAGAATCAAGAGTTTGCTATGTGTGTGTGCCCTTGTTTTTTTCTTTTAACCATTTTTGGGGACAAGGAAGTATAAATTTATGCAAAACACTACATGTCTACCTTTTATAATTAATTTCCCAATGCCTCACCTATACATATTTTAATAATTCCTGATTTATAAGATGGCATCTAATAAAATTTTCTATTTTCCAATAAGTGAAAAGAAGGCAGGTTCATTCCAGCAACAGTGTCACACAATATCTGCTTGTCAGGCACCAATTTTTACTTCTTACATGTAAGTTAAAGGATAAGGAATTTATAATATTGCCTGTGAAGGGAACCACTTTTCATACACAAATGTGATCTTTTTATTTTTCAAAGGGTAATACAACAGTACATTTACATAAACTAATCCAAACAATCTATGTATTTGACAATGGCAAACCTCACACAGACGGCCCATTGTTGGTTTACATCTTGGAGTTCTTTATATTGGCTGGTAGCTCAGCCCTAGCTGTCAAAGGTTTGACTTGGACTCTAAATAAATGGTTATAGAAGTGCTGTGCGGCGATATTGAACTTCTTTGCAAAAGAAAACCTGCTGTGTATGAATTCAAAAGCTATTAATTTTTCAGTCAAAAATATTCGTGCCTATTTCTTTTAATAAAGAAATACTGTGCAGAGCTAGTAAGAGATAATGTTGACTAGTGGTAGAGAATTTTCAATAGAGCAGTTAAAAATAAATTTAGTAGGAGGTCCCCTTCAAAGTTGTAATTTTCAACAATGTAAGACCTTTTTTTGCCTAATACTAATCAAGATAAACCTTCCTTCCTTGTGCATTTACCCCAGGACTGGGTTTCCCTGTTCACTGGCTACTCAGCACTGGTCCTCATGGTGATTCCCCATGGCCCTTCTGTGGCCTGTACAGGCTTACACTGAGTGTCCCTGGGGTTTGGCAAGTCTTTCTCCAGTTTTATCCTTTCTCCTCCCCACAGGAAGCCTCATGATCCAAAATAAGCCCATTTCTAGACTCCAAACAGTATTCTACCATTGTCTTTACTCCATGGAAGAAGTAGAAGAGAATCTCATTCTTCACCCTGGTTGCTAGGTTTAAAGACTCACACCCTTCATCCTGGGAGGAACCATTTCCCTCCCAATAGAAGCCATATGAACACGTTCAGAGTTTTAAGGTGATTGGTTCCCTAAAGAGTTGACTATGCCCACTAGTGAACTCAGTCATTTCAGGGTCTCACCATACTGAGATCATAGTATTTCTAGAATTCCTGTAAACAGGGGGAATTTATAGAAATACCAAGACTAGCACAGATGACTACTGATTCTACAACATACTGAATGGCCTATGCTTGTTTTTCCCCCTTTCTTTTTGGTAGCCTACAAACTCAGTCCTATAGCTATTTACTTCACAGTACATGGAAACGAAGGGCTTTTTCCGAGTAAAAATGGATGTGCAAAGTGTTTAATGATTTTATGCCCTGTATCTCAGTAATGTGTTCTGTTTCAGACATTAATTTTGTCTGCCAACTGCATCCTGGCAGGCTACCATATTTGCTGGTTAATAGTCTGACTCTGTTTTATTTGTATCACCATAAATCATACATATATGGGTGTATGTTTGCTTTATTTATAGGAAAAAATCAGTCCAAACAGATAAACCAATCCTTTGCCATGATGCTGCATCATTGCATGTTGATTAAAATTACTGGTACCAACTATAGATTGTCAACGCTCAATTAATTTTCACATAGTGACTCCATGCAAAATCAAATAAAGGCAGTGTACCTTTAATTTTTACAAATCTTAAAAATCAAGAAGCAAAGCGACTCTATTTTGAATAACCAGTTGAAGGTACTAGGAGGTGTTTAGAAATATAAGTATATGAGAAATGCAATTATTAAAGAGATCAATGTAAAACAAAGAACGAGGCCCATGACAGCAGTTGGGGACACCATCCTTCCACTTTGATACTATCTCTGTCTGGATGGCCCTCCTTGAGGTCAAGTAAAAAGGAACAAGGAAAGAAAGGGGGGACCCCTAAAGTTAAACAAGTATAGTGTACCACATTTAGTTTCTGAATTGCAGAGTTGTGTTTACTTCAGTCTCTTTAGATGTGCTCCATAATCTGAGCCTCTAGCTACTCTGATGTGTGTTTCCTTCCTGTCACACTCAGACTGGATGAGCCCTTGCTCCTTTTCTCCTGCTCACAGTCTCCATTTCCCTGGGCCCCAAGGCCACTGTCTTTGCCTCTGTGGTCTGGTTGTCTTTTCTCTGCATCATTACCATTCAGAAAGTTTTTTTCTCTTCTCTCCCAGTGAGTTCTCACAGCATATTTTAGTACCTAAATATTGATGTAATGTAGCATCCATCATCTGTCCCCAAGAAGAGCTGACTTCCTGGGCCTCATGAACCAGGACTGGGCCTGCATCACCCCACATTATCTTAAATGCCCAGCACAGTACCCTATTCATAAAAGTTTACCAGATACAGTCAGCTCAGCTTAGTCTTGACTATTCAACACTACCAGAGTGGCCTGCATCCTTCCTGTGTTTTGGGTGGGGAAGTAGACAAGAAATGCTGTCAGGTTCTTCCCTTTGGTGTAGCTCAATACTTACAGGCTGAGGGGCAGCTTTGGGTTCTGTAGACTTCACATGCAGGTGGGTCATCATGGCTTGCAGGCGTTCTTTGTCTTTTGCAAGCTAGGATGGAGAAAATCCTTTGTTATTTCTTCAAATACAGATTTAAATATGCTGTTACTATTATACATAATTACAGCCAAAATGATACATATTCCAAATTAAGCTATGGCACCATCACACATGACACAATATTGTTCATTGCTTCATCATTTTGAAATCTATGTGACCACTGCCAAACTCCAAGTAGCTGGAGGTGTCTGTGCGAGATTTCTCAACAGAAGAGACTTTAGCTTTTAACTATGCAGATCTAGACCTGCTGGCACCAAGGAGTCCTATGGACACAGACAGCTAAAAGACAAAAAAGTGAATCATGCCTATTAACCAACCTTGTTCATGAAGAAGCCAAAATAAAATGAGCTAGGTAGCTAAAACTCATAAATTCATCTGCTGTGGTTGTGGGAACAGTCCTAGACAGATGGGTACTTTTATGCAAAATTAACTTCATCTCTCCTAACAGGTAGGTGCAGATTAAGACAGTGTTGGCAAGCGATGTTATTAGCAGGGCAGGCACAGGGCTACAGGTTCCCATGTTCAAATGTATGCGAATAAGCTTATTCATTTATTCAATATGTAAGTACATACCATGTGCTAGTCTCTCATCTTAACAAAAATGGAGATCTCCTCAATCACCAGAACATTGTCTTCTGAAGGCACAGGAGTTTCTAATCGGATTACATGGCGGGGACCCAAATACTATCTATTGGATGTTACTTGCTCTATGCTTGCCCTGGACTTTTTAATGCAATATTTTCTATAGTTCAAGACAGTTGAGCATGGGGGGCATATAAAAAGTACCTTTATGAAAGAAGTGGGAAGTATATCCCCAAAGGATAATGGTATAGTTAAGAGAACAGCTTAGAACTGTGGGAAAATGTATAAGAGATTAATGAGAGGGAGAGAGGGAGGGAAGAGGGAAAGATGGGAAAAGAGAAGGTGGGAGGGAGGGACACAGAATTAAGGAGAGACTCATTCCTTCTATGTCACATAACTAAGCTTAAATCTTTCAAACATGAATTATTTTTGTAAGTCTAAAATTATTTCAAAATAATGATCAAGTAAGACATTTCTAAATAAAGGTATTTCTAGGGGAGGAAGTGTTTCAGCAATTGGGGTGGCAGAGGGAGGGAAGGGGTACACAAGCCAGAGAGAAAAGGTTTTCGGTATCCTAACTGGATGACTGTCTAAGGCCATATCACATTTTTTTCCCTCTTTATTCCCTTGTGGTTCAGGGAGGAATAAATTCCTGGGGCGGTTGGGGGCAGGGTGAGTCCTACAGTGTTAGCATTTATCTTTCAACAAACAGGAAATGAAAATGATACCATATTAGGAGCCACTTTATGGTATTCATCTTCTGTTCTTCAGTAAGTTATTGAACAGCCAAACTAAATGATGCTTTGAACACAAAACATAATGCTAAAGGAATTTAGTTTTCCAAAGTGGCTCAGAACAATTAAAATGTTAGCAATGACATTTTTTAGTTATGTTTTTTTGTGAGTGTTCTAAATTTTTAGGTGTTAAAAGTAAAACATTCTTAATTTAAAAAATGTTTTAAAATTATAATGGGGCAGAGGTAGGAAACAACTAGTCTGTCATAGTGAACATTACAAATTAAAGGGTGAGAGGTGATAATTACTGAAGAGTCTGATGAATATTAACTGTGACTTAATTTGGGGGTAAACATTGTTGATATAGTAATTACAAAGACCAAAGTAGAAAGAAATCCAAATTCTCAGCATCAAAAGATTCATCACCTCTATACTGCATGGAAACGTGTACAGGCTGACCTTTTACTAGTTAAAGGCTGCAAACACATACCCGACTTGTACACATAGCCACACCCATAACCCTGGAGGTCATTGCCATAGGGAACATTTTATTTTTCCACGAGAATATTATTTAGACTTCATCATCCATTTTGAGAATTATACAGGTTTCTGATTTTGCCTCAACCTCAACTCCACCTATAAAAGATGGGCAAGGTAACAGAAAAAGGCAGTGATCCAAGTTTTTGTTTTTGTTTAATTAGTGCAAACTAGCATGTAATATATTCTTAAATGAGCCTTGAGTTTTTATCATCAATTCTAGCTCTGACACAAAGTGTTTTAACAGTTAAAGGGAAAAAAAAACTGGCAGAGTTTGCTTTTTGTTTTTTTAGGCAAAGGCTAAACCTTCACACCTATTGAAACCATATCCTCTCTTTAGTCTTGCATTTATAATACTCACTGGCCCTTCAAAAAGCTTTCAGAGTCTTTATTACCTTTTATACCACCATTCCATGAGCTCACCATCCCATTAATTTTCATGGCATCCTTTCATTATTATGAGAATACAAACATTTAATATTAGCAAGCATACACCAGCATTCTATTATAAATTGAATCCCATAAAAAGCAAAGGAAAGGATGAAAAATTCATTTCAAAGGTCAATTAAAAATTTGGTTGGCAAATTAAAAAAAAATTTCTTAATGTTGTTGAGATCCAAAGAGAATGACTTTCTAAAAGCTTTCCTGGTGGGTTAGGATGGGTGTTGACATAGAGAGTGGCACATGTCTGGGAGTGCTGGGTTAAATCAGCAAGTTTTCTCACCATGTTCTGTAGTGTGACAGCAGAGTGGAAATGGGTGAAAGCTCCCAACTTTTGGCACAGCAGGTAACCTTTGTAAGTCTTTAGTTGTCCCTGTAATTCTGGAACAATGATCTCTGAACTCTGAAGGGCTGTTTTGAGGAGTAGGGAAATTCTTGCACATAAGCTCAGCATAGAGCTTAGTGCTTTGGGATGTTAAAAAAGATTTTTAAGGGAAAGTTAAATCAGTGAATTCTATATAGATTTCTCCTGGCTAAGTATATGTCGGAATCTGCATCAACATAACAGGGGTTCAATGGAGTTTGTAGCTGGGCTCATTGGGGAGAGATTTTTTTTAATGTGTTAAAGAATGGAAGAAAGCACGGGAAAGAAGAAGTCCATTTCATATGGATTTATGTTCTCGGTTCTCACGGTATCTTTCCCTCAGCCTAGCAAATCCTTTCCCCCCTTGGCTGATATAAGCCATTCCCTCTTCTATTAACTATAGCCTCAAAGTGGGTTTTAGACAGCCCAGGCTGTGAATGACCAGAACGTGTGTACTGCTCCAGACCTACCGATAAGTGCCTAAGGCTAGGAGCTCCATTCAACATCTTCAAAGATAAAAACTAAGGAGATTAAATACATTCTTTTAGCAGAGAAAAGGGAACATGGATTTGGGTTCATTTAACATGATCATTTTATATGCTGTCAGACAGACTGGTTTTCACTTGTGAGAAAAAATTCTAAAATAAATGAAGGACTCTGGGTATGTAAAAATACTAGAATTACCGAGGACAGGTGAGAAGGAGCCAGATAACTCATTTAATTTCACAGAAACCAAGACTGAGGTGGCTATTTTCAGTCTTCTAGCCCTATTTCCACATTTTATAGTTGGGAAAAATGAGAACCACAGCTGAACTTACCTAAGGTCATGGAACTAAGAATAGGCAAAAAATACAATGGAATTCTGGTTATATGAGGCTTGGTCTGATTTTCCTACATTGATGGGAACACCTGAGACACTAACTGGGAACAGACATACCTCTCACCTGCTTCCATCCTGAGTTCTGACACAAGCTCCACAAGAGGATGGGACACCCATGTCTTTGTAGCAGGAACCCCATTTATGGTTGGCAAGTCTGGATTATTTCTGTGCAATAAGGAGTCTCCATGTAACTGACTGGAGTTGTACCTATTCTTACTAAATCCAACACTCCAAGGAGGAATGTGGGAGTAGGCAGCTTGAATAAAGACCCCAAGTGTCCAACTTTAATGAGGTGGGTGTGGGAGATAGTCCCCTCTTCCACGGGCTGAGTATGCCTTAAACAGGGAGGGCTGTCTGGTTTCCTCAGTAGTTCTGTATACAGCAATGATCCAAACAGAATTACTGAGACAGAGTAACATATGATCAGAAAAAGAAGAGCAAAAGGGAGATGGGGAAAAACACTGGCTGGAAGGGGTAGAAATGAAATTCTTCTACCAAACTGATTATTTATTAAAAAGTGATTTTCACCCCACTTTACCAAACTACGGTTATCCTGGTCATCCATATGTCTTCCCAACTTGGCTTCAGTGAAAACTTACAAACAATTTCTTCACCACCAACTACAACTCTCAGGTGGAGGCAGCCTACAGCTCACTTCACCCTGACTGAAGAACTTCCTCACTTTGATTGTATTCTGTCACCATCTTCACATTCCTTGTATGTTGTTATTAAAGACTCTCTTGACATTTAAGCAGACGCACGCTAATACTCAGTCATAGTCTAGGAATTCTAATGCTCCCAGAGTTAGGCAGGATTTTAAATTATGAAAACTAAGTGTCTGTTTTCAAAGAGAGACATAGAAGGGAGAAACCCAGAGACTCTCTCTTCTTTTTCTTGGCTCTCCTCACAAAGCTTTGGCAACATAACACTACAGTGCTATCAGGCCCTCTTTCCCCAGTGTTCTCTGAGTTTATTCAGAGACAGTCATGAGGCTATCATCCCACTGCCACTGTCCTGAGTACTGCCTTGGAAGGGGTTAGAAAAGTACAAAGGGGGTCACATTAAGATAATATATTTGTGGAAGTCCAGGAAGCGGGTGTGATTACAAATAGCACTGCTAATGGTAGAATGATCACATGTAAAGTCCCTACAATAATGGATTTGTGTTAGGCTTAATGTCTCCCCCTGCTACTGAAACCTGTGTATTTTTCTCCCAGCTGACACTTTCTGAGAGCTTAGAGGTGCTGATGTAGATGATTTAGGAAACTGTGTAGTGATCCCAGTGTTACTGAGCTCTAGCCTTGCCCTGCTGTGTGGATTGTAGGGGAAAGCTCCACCAGGCAGAAAAGAGAACAGTCCAAAACCCGTGTTTTAAAACCAGTGCTGTGCAATTCTCAGGTGTAGGCACAGAACCCCACAGGGCCATGATCACCCTGCTGAAAACCAGCACTGG